TCTCGTGCCCATATTCGGAATCAACATAGTCGATAACCTAGAACCCAGTAGGTTTTATTTAAAAAGCGATTGGACAGTTGGCGATGTTCCCTCGTTAGTTTTGTTTACTATGAAATGAAGAAAAGCTTTCAGGATATCTGTGTCTGAAAAAAATTTCAATAAGGGTCTAATGATTTGTTCTCTTGTGCATCTATTTTCGTTTACATGTTTTGAATTAAAAGATTTCTAAAAAAGTCTATCAATAGGTTTTTTTTTGTTTACATTAGAGAGAGAGAGACATTTCCAGCATAAATCTCATTTGTAGAAGTTTCAATGTATATGGAATTTTATTTACAGTTATGACAAAAAATTTATCTAAATCAATTTATTTGATTGAAAGTCTCAATAAATATAAAATTTAAAGAGTATTTCACTGATATTAGTTTCCATTATTCAAGATGACTGCCTACTAATACAAAGAAATCTGAAAAATAATTCTTGATGAAAGCGTCTGGAGAAGAATTAAAAGCTTAAAATTTTTTCAAAAAACCAATACTATTCAATGAAGTGTTCAGACTTGGATTCGAAGTCAATCTGACGAGCTCTAACATTCATTAGCTTGTGAATCTTCTAAAAAAAACTTAACCTTCTTCTTTTGACAAAAGATATTATGCACACCGCAAGGACTCTCAGAATATGTATAAATTTTGAAATCGAGTTTTTTTTTTTAGAAAAGTCGACTTTTCTGAGAGAAGAAGCGTCTCTAATGAAAGAGGATCTATTTCAAAATAAATTTATCTATAAATTTTATTTCGTTTATTATTTATTTAAATTTTAAAGTTAGCAACATACCTGATAATCTCTTTTAATTGAAAGTTTTTCAATATAACTATCAAAACAATAAGATTTCATATTACATCCATTATGTTTTGATTTTGGTAAACGTGTAAATATTTTAGCTGATTTATCAACACGATATTCACATATAAATAAATCCATTGTTAATATTCGACTACTATATTCACATATTGGTTTACCTTTACAATAAGTTCCTGTATCTAATATATAACATGGACGCAAAATTGAATTTATATTAATTGATTCATTTATTGATGGAAAACGAAATACTTCATTTGAAAAAAATTTTCGATTAACTTCATGAAATGTTTCATATGAACGTAAATAATAAAAACCTGATGCTTGTATAACATTATTATTATCAATCCAAAGACGTTCAATAAAAAATATATCATATTGTGATGATGTTAAATTTTCATTTCGTTTTCGTACAAGATAACATTCATTTATACGAATAATAAAACCATCTGAACGTGTTATTGTTGAATATGACGGATAATTATCATGAAAAATTTGTATCGATTGAACTATAGGAATACGAACATTAGTTTTTAAACACAATGAAGAATTTTCTGCACACATGGGATGACATTCAAAACAAAAATAAGGCTGAGAAGAATTCACTATTGTTACACATGAAACATGTTGCCATAACTAAATAAAAAATAAAAGATTACAGTAATTAATCTAAAGTTCAATATAAAAAACTGATCAGTGCAACCCATTTAAGGCTAAAATGTTAAACTAACATGTGTTATTTACCCTCATTATACTAATACAAAATACATAAAGTAAAAATCTTAAACTACTATTTAGAACATTCATAAACGTGTTCCAGGTAATCGAATTTCAATGAATGCTTCAGAATGTTTTAGAACAGTCTATTGAAAGAATCTTTCCAACATGAAAATTGTTTATGAGTTCTGACTCAATGCGTAAGAGTTAGACCCTAATGAGGCTCTAAAAAACCCAAAATGATCAGGTCTAGTTACAAGTAGGCTTATTTATAGACAACAGTTCAGATCAAAATATTTGTCATTCAATTCTTTTGTACATACTGTCCTATAGATTTAAGGCCCCCCCCCCCCCCCCCCCCACACCCCCCCACTCACACACTCACCCCGCTCCCCACACCCACACCCCCACACCCATACCAAGACCCACACACCCACATCCATACCAAGACCCACACACCCACACCCATACCAAGACCCACAC